GAGCCTAAATAATAGTAATAATAATAACCAACAGAAAACACCTATAAAGTAATGAATTCTTATGATAAACTTTATCTCAACTACTCTTACAAACTAATTCATAATATTGTTTTTTTCCTTGAAACCAGTACACATAAGTTTATTATGATGGATTACACAATTGTAATACTAGGAATAACTTAAACTAGACGGTCTATATGTACTAACTTAAACGAAAAGGTTAAAAACGGGAAGTATCCTCTATTTCACCCTCACAGGTGGAATATTTTCTTCAAATTTAAGTTAAATTGAGATACAACCTATTAAAAAAGTCGCCGTAGTCGCACGTTTTATTTCAATTCAGATAATTGTTAATGTACGGTGACTACGGCGTTTTAATTAAAAGAACTTATATTTATTTCTTTTGTGAATAGGTATTTACAAAATCTTTGTAATTTTTTTCTTTTTCTCTACTTTGGTTTTCTTGATACTTGTTTGTTCTGTAAGCCAGACATTACTAGGTAACATTTCAATGTATATTCACATATCGTATTTGATTGTTTTTATATAATATTTTTAAGCCCAAATATTCATTCTACTATAATATTTTTATTTCTTGGTGTTGTAGTTGATCTATCATTATACAAAGAGGAAAGCCAGCTGAAAAAGAAACGTCGACCAAGTAAGAGAAAAGCTTCGTCGCCGTTAAGATCACCTGCAAAATTGTCGTCTGCTGGAGTGGATAAGAAGTTGCCTGAAACTCCAAAAGTAAAAAAGAAGGCTCAGGCTACTGCTAAAAAAGTAACCAGAAAACAACAGCAACAAACTGCTGCGGCGGTGGAAAGGAAGGCAACCGGTACGGCCACATCTACGACGAAAAGAGTCCCGTCCACGAGCGGAGGCCGAGCTGAGAGGGCTAAAAGACGATTGCACGAGACAGCGAGTGTTTCTAAATCAGCTGCTTCCACTCCTGTCGACTCCAAGAAGGCCAAGGTATTGGCTAAAATGGCGAAGAAGAGGACTGGCGTGTCTGTACCAGTTACTAAAGTTTCAAAAGCAGGTTAGTCCATTTGGAATAAAAATATTCTTTAAAATGTAAAATAACGACCCAACATAAATCATTTTATCCAGTACAAATTATACTACTAATCGGGAAATATTTACATAAACATTGAAGTGAAAGTAATTAATATTAAATAGTTTTCGATGAGTGGATGTAGTTAAAAATTAATCTTTTATCTGCGACGTTTGTTTTGGTTAATCATTTTATTAAAAAGAAGTGTTTTGCTGAAGCGTACTCACACTCGCCTTGTAACTAAGTGGACTCGGATTCAATTCTCCAGTGTTTCGTGAGCACAAAGCACAGTGAAATTACTTAAAATGATTAAAATTAATGTAAAGGGACCATTTAAAAGCAATTTCGTTAATGTTTCTCAGAGAACCAACAGTTAAATTTTTAAATACCAAAACATTTTTTCTTACAGCTGTCAAAACGTCAAAAGCTGCCGTTTCAAAAGGTCAGAAGCAACCTCCTCCTAAGCAGGCGTTGCAGCCTCAGCAGCAAGTGAGAAAATCAAGGCGGGGCCGAAAATAAAACGAATAAGAATTTNCTTTCACACTGTTGTTTTTTATCTTATTTTATTTTTATACTCTATAATGATAGAAAAAGTGGGAATTACAAATAAAATTAGGGAGATGGAAAAAAAGAAGTAAGAGATATTGCGAATGTGTGTATGTGTGCTTAATTGCGTGTTCGAGTGATATGAAATGAGAGAACGATCCGCCCTCCGAATACGAAAACGATTGAAAAGTATATAAAATGCGGGAATTATTTCTTCTCTTCTCAAATTCAGAGCAAATTATATGTCCGCTATATTGTTTGATCCCTATAATAATTGATTATTGCAGATTTTTGAGCAATTTCAATTTCAGTATTTATTATTTTATATACATTTTAAATGATTAATTATGTAGGTGTATATTATTATTAATTATTATTCGTACTTTATGTAAGTGGGTGTGGATTGTATTGGAAATTGACACCTGCAGGAGCACAGTTGTGTGGCAATAATTTTTTGTTAGAATAAATAAAATGGTCTTATTTTATCCATTAAAAATGACATCGAAAAATATGTAATTTACTTTGTAAGAAAAGTTACTATTGGAAACGTTTTGAAAATTGACAGAAAAAACGGTAATTTTGAAATTAGACTTAAGCCAGCAAAGTAA